TCTTTTGTCATATGCTTCTCGGATGTGTTCCTCTTGAGGTTGAATTTCAAGAAATTATCTAAAATAAAGTTTAGGGTTCATGTTATGTCATTAAGTTGTTAATGGCTAAGACAAACAATATGTATATATATTCAATGCTTTTTTCTCTTCTATTACTTCTCTTTTTTAATGAGTTAAGGCCTCCATTCTCTTAACTTCAATGCTTTTTTCTCTTCTATTACTTCTAATTTTTCCTCATTTATTCTCTTCTTGTACTAAATTTTATTCTCTAATAAAAAAATACATAACATTCCTATAGACCTTTGCCCAAATTTTTCATTTATAATTCTTTACCAAAAAAATTGAAAAAAAATTTCTATGTATTGATATAGTCATTAACCAAAGGATTAAGCTGTCTTTTCCTCTAAATTATCGTTTTCTTAGTAATTATATGGTATTGTATATGATAAAAAGCCTATGTGTATTGACATTGATGTATGATTTTTTTAAAATTGACTATGTCCTATGATTTTCAACTTAATTATTTTTAATTTAAAATTTAATTAGTTTTTAATTAAAATTATCATCACAAATTCTACCAATAAAACTAATACTGACATGCAACTAATAAATATTAAAATCCCACTAATTTGTCCTTATGGAGTGATTAACCACTAAAATATAACATTCACATTTCAAACATGCAATTTTCATAAAATAAAAAATGCAAAGGGACAAGATAGTACAAGTTAATTATTTTAATGATATTTTAATTAGTCTAACATACATTTTAGATTTATTTAATTAAATAACTCCAAATATTATAGAGAATTATAGTAATTAATTAGAAATTACTTTATATTCATCAATAATTATGGTTTAGTAATTTAATAAATCTGTCTGAATTATTTGCAATGTCAGATCCTTATAGAAAGTTTTAAATTAATTTGCAAAGACTGCCCAGAATAAGGATTTTCAAACAAAATAATACATGAAATATTCAGCAAATTAATTAGACTTTAATAAATAATATTATAGTATTAAGATTTTATTATATATTATTATTTTCTATGTAACCTGTATTCTTGTTCTTTTTATTTTTATTTTTGAAATTACTGTCAATTTTGATAGAGTTTTATGGTATAATAAGTACAAAATGATAAAGAGAATTAATTACTATATACAAAATAACCACTCTTGCATATCCAAATATTCAGAAAACTGGCTCAACTTAGATTGACCTGGTTCAAGAAATATCAAGTTGGTTCAAGTGTCCGTCTAATCGATCTCAACCCAAAGGTCTATAAGAAAACTCACATAGACCAAGCAACTATGACATGAGAACTTAACTACGTTGGATGAGTACAACGTAATATATAGCCGGCCTTAGCGACTATTATCTATGAAGTTGTCCTATGTGACTTCTCAAGGAAGGACAACCTCCTAAGGCTTAAACAAGTTTAACGTTATAATCGTGCTACACAATTATTATATTTTATCTTTTTTTTTTAATAGTCATGTATATAGTTGATTCTTTCATGCTCAAGCCTCAAATCAAATCTATAAATATAGGGTTGAGGGGTGAGCTCATTTTAAGCAATTTTATACTTTTTTTTTCCTTGGTAATTAAACATCTTTTATAGAAATTCCAAATCTTCTTACTTTAGAATTCAAATTTCTCTTTCTATTTGTCACTTTTCCTTTTCACTCAATTGTATAATTTATGGACAATTTTAAATTAAACACCCTAATGAATTAATGTGGTGAGCATGGAGCATACCATAAACTAAAATAGGACTGCTACATGAAATAGAAAATGATCAAAGAGATGGAAAAGAATTTGTCTACATGGAGAACTAGGAGTTTATGAATATTTGCCAACTTGTCGAATTTTAGAAGATGATGGCTCGAATGATCCAATAGATAGTGGTAGCTTGCATGACCAATTAATGTATTGCGCCTATCATCATAATCATGGTCACATCACTGAGGAGTGTCTAGAGCTTGATGGAAGACCTCATGGTAAACTTAAAGAATTTGTTAGTGCTAATATAAGAAGAAGTTTGGGGAAGGCACCTATGGAGGCAGTACACAATAAACTAGTCTTAGAACATGCGATTCATATCTCTAACATTCATTAACATAAATTTAACATAAAAATAGTTACTGACCTCCTTTCAAAGAAACATTCATTAACATAAATTTAACTGGTAAAAATACAATAAAATCATATTATATTATTTAAAATGATCAAATCTCTAACATAATAAGAGTTATATGGTGAAAGTTTATATCAGATTTAGGAGAGACAAAATATGTAGAAATCAAAATCATCGAAGACAGAGATAAGAAAATAGTTATTGACCTCAAATAAAATAAAACCAATAACTAGAGTGACAATAATAATGACCAAAATTGACTTTCTCTCTCTTATTATTTCTTCTTTTCTTCTTTTAGTTTCTTCACGGGCAAGGAACGTGAAGGGGGGGGGGGGGGGGGGGGGGGTGTGGGGGGGGGGGCAAATTCCTCAAACAAAAATCACGATCTTGGATTCAAGAGAAAATTATTAAAAAAATTGTTAGTAGCCTAGCATCGTAGCACTCAGACTCAGCGTCATAATGCTGCATGTCGAATTCAAAGTTATTGTAGAACATAGCCACAAATGCCCCATCGACAGTTTTTGGCACCGCAGTGCTCTCAAACCTAGTGCTGCAGCACTCTAAAGCACAATGCTGAAGCGATCCAGTTCAAACATAAAGTAAGTTTTTTTTTGTTACAATTTTCATATTTTCGGATTATTACAACTATATGCTTATCTCCTTTTCTAATATTTCTTACATGATTATTGCTAAGATTTTCGCTAATAGAACGAACCTTATTTTGCCCCATATTATTAAAAATAACCAAGTTAGTTTCACTCAAGATAGAATATCTACTGATAATATTTTTTTGGCCATTGAATTATTGAGTGATTTTAACAATAACTCAAAATCATGTAATATTTTCACTATTACTTGCTTTAGCTCTCAGCTCAAAATCATGCTCTACCTTTGTTTGCTCTGATTTTTAGCCTCTCTTAATGAAATTTGCTAGTCTTTAGATGGTTCGAGGGCTAAGTCTTTGTCTTTACTTTTCCATATCCAATTTCTTAAGTTTACCATATGCAACACTTTAGCTTATTAGATAAGGGAAGCTATTTTGCCTACAGCTTGTTGCAAGTTTATTAACAAGGTTTGTTATAGATTCCTCCTTTATGTGGATATTAACACGGGAAAATTCACACTATTTCTTGAACATCTACTTGTTGACCTAAGAATAATGATGGCCTTGGTATCCCTACCATATAGGCTTTGTACTATGGGTATACTTGTTCTCTCATTTAGCACATTTTTAATGGAGACAGTTTGTTGGCTTACTAGTATAAGCATAAATGCAACTCTATTTGGAAGCCTTGCCCTCACAAAACTTCCAAATCATGAAGGTTTATTTGCTCTATAACCATCAAAATATGGAATTATATTTCACTAAACATACTCACAAATAGCAGACTTTGTCTTGTATGGGACATGTGGTGCAATGAAAAAGTTTTATATGAGATCTTCAAATCGGCTAGTTTAAGGGATTTCCACAATATGCAGATTTGCAATCTTACTTTTTATTCTGGTTGAAACTTTCCTTCCAATTTACGTAATGTGTTTGGTTTTGTTATTGCTAATGTTGGGTTTGGTTATGATTATATTCCTACTATTGTATTGATAATCCAATTTTTAAATATTTTAGACTCATTATTATGATTATCATATCATTGTACCTTGGTTTAATTTCATATGGTATAAGAATTATGCTCTCAGATTATCTTCTTTTGCTTGGATGATAATTTTAAAAGGTCTTAAAACTATTGATAGCCTTATTAAACACAATATTTAGGTGTCATCTTCTTGCATCATCTGCAACAATGCTAATGAACATCACAATCATTTATTCTTTGAGTGTGACATCTCTTTTACTATAAATTCAGCTTTAACTCCTCAAATGTGCTTCTTTCTATTTAGGCCTACTTTGTTGCAGCTTTTTGAGTACGTTTTGGATATACCTAATACCCCTGCTTTAATAAAAAAAACTCTTTTACTTTATTTCTTATTGTTCCATTTATTTTATATGGAGAGAGAGGAACTATAATAACTTCAAAAATGTTATTTGTAGTTCCATTACTATTTGCTTTAAAATTAAAAAAGTTATGCATAATAAAGTGGCTCCTAGAAAAATGCATGAGAAATTATACATATAATCAATTTTTTATATATGTTGAGTTTTTGTGCCACCCAGGTTATTTTTCTACGATATATAGACTGGATGTTGTTTTATATATTAGTTTGGTTGTTGTTTTCCTTTTTTTCTCGTAGCAGGTTTCCTAGGATATGTCCTGTTTTAACGACATCTTCCTCTGTTTTGCACATTGGCTGTTCATTATTCTTGCTAAGAAAGATGCTTTTTTAGGACAATGATGAATGTCATTCGTGCTCCAGTTAGAACCTACGGAAGGACAAAGAGTCAATCAGTTTAACTATTCTAAAAAGGCTCGTGTGACAACCAAGGGATAATTTAAAACGTCTTATCATGTAATCCCGGAGTCTATATTTATTAGGGAACTCTGAGTCTAGGATTTGAATTGTTGCTCAAATGCCCTTTCTTTTGTGTTTGTTTTTCTCTATTCTATATTTATATTTCAGATATTTATTCTTCTATTTAATTTTTTTTACTCCTATGTTTTGGGAGTTATAATTTTATTTTTAGGTTATCATTTTATCATTTTTCATATAGTGAATAAAGCTAGATTATGTCCATATTATTAAAAAAAATAAATCATAAATAAAAAAGCAGAAGAATATAGATGACATCACTAAGCATTAACATATAAAGCCTAACCATACTTTATATAAATTTATCTAATCTCCTAATAAGCTCCTCAACTTTTAATCATCTTTTTTTACAAAAAAAAAAAAAAAAAAAGTCAATAGTATATATAATTTTATTTAATTTTAAACGCCTCAGCAGAACACGAGCCCACTGGCCACTGTCCCGTATTCGTAGGAGAAATGTTCTTCACTCTTCGACTGCTCATCGCCAATATAAATGGACCACTTATCCTTCCAACTAGTTTGCAAGAGAAACACAGAGGACAATTGATGGGAGAAATCGGAGGCAAGAAGCCCAAGGTTGTGATAGTCGGAGCGGGAATGGCCGGCCTGGCCGCCGGCCGGAGACTGCATGCCTGCGCCGGAGACCTCCTCGACATCGCCGTAGTCGAGGCTGGCGACCGCATCGGCGGTCGCATCCTCACTTCCAAGTTTGCCGGCGCCCAAGTGGAGATCGGTGCTACCTGGATCCACGGCATTGACGGCAGTCCCATCTACGAAATCGCCAGAAAAGCAGGAGCACTCATCCCTGATGATCACGCAACCTCCTGGGAGCGCAAGGATGGATTTCCTTCCGATCCCCTGACCCTAGGCGAAGGCGGTCTCTCCATCGACCCCTCACTCCTAAGCCGCATCTCCTCCGTCTTCTCTAACCTCAAAGACCTCATCGTCTCCGGCAAAACCAATGGTGAAATCGCCAGCGTCGGCGAGTTCTTCCGCCGTGGATTCGAGTCCTACCGAGCTGAGAAACACCGCGCCGATTGGATGGAAGAGGCGGCGTTTGCGATGCACGAGTGTGGAGAACGGACGTATACCGCGGTTGACGATCTGGAATCGCTCGACCTTGCGGCGGAGAAAGAGTACTGTGAGTTCCCTGGTGAGCACATCACCTTACCCGGAGGCTATTCACGAGTCCCCGAGTTCCTCGCCGCCGCGCTTCCCCTTGGTACGATTCGGCTCCGGCGTAAGGTATCCAAGGTGGAATGGCATCCTGTTGGTCTTGCCGGACGCGATCCGGTCCGAATCCTCTACGACGATGGCGAAGCCGAGTTTGCCGATCACGTGATCATTACAGTCTCCCTCGGCGTTCTCAAGGCCGGGGTTATTAACGGGGACGGGTTGCTCTTCTCACCTTCTCTGCCGGAGGCGAAGATCCACGCAATCCGACGGCTAGGGTTTGGTCTGGTAACCAAGCTCTTCATGGAGCTCGAAGGAGGAGAAGAAGAGAAATCCCCGTTCCCTTATCTACGGATGGCGTTTGATCCCTCAAGACAGGTGGCGGAAATCCCGCGGTGGATTAGGAGGACGGATTCCATTTGCCCTATCAATCGCGTGTCCCGGGTGCTGCTCGCCTGGTTCGTCGGCCGGGAGGCGGCGGAGGTGGAGAAGATGGACGACGATGAAATCATCCGCGGTCTTCACGCGACGCTCAATGGTTTCTCCCCGCCTCCAGCGGTCGACGGCGGCGGGTACGGTCGGATAGCGAGGGTAAGGAAGAGCGGGTGGGGGAAGGATCCGCGGTTTTTGGGGTCGTACAGCTACGTAGCCGTTGGATCGAGCGGGGACGATCAGGATGCGCTCGCTGACCCTCTGCCCAGCGACAGCTCCTTGTCCCCGTTGCAGATCCTGTTCGCTGGGGAGGCCACTCACCGTACACGATACGCGACCACTCACGGGGCATATCTCAGTGGGCTCCGCGAGGCGGACCGCTTGCTCCGTCACTACGGAATCCACAGCTTCAAATCCTAGTTTACAAGAGAGAGAGAGGGGATGAGAAGAGATAATTACATCAAGTGACAGTAAATCAAATTACTAATGCATGGGAATTGGGAAGAAGTTTCTTTTACTCTTAAAAGCTTTATCGTATATTCACAATGATACAACGCAGCTCTAACGCAATTATTCGATCAACTTTTAAGGTTTCAAACTGTTGGGAGATCTCATCATGTTTGGGCACACCAACTTCTTATTGCACTCAATGAATCAATAATTTTTTTCCACAAAAAAAAAAAAGACTAATGAGGTTTGGTAACTTGGAGACTTTTACTGTATTAGAAAGCTATCTGATTTACGAGAGATTATTCTGTGCGGATGTTGAACGCAACTCTACATTCTGATATCAATCAGAATGAGTCACGTCAGTCATACCGAGTTACTGTACCGAGCGATACCGAACTGTTGGCTTAGACATCTGTACGAATTCTGCTTTGCCACATAATAAATTTTCTTGATTTAAGGACCAACTTTTTTTAGTCACTTCATAGGGGTATGCAGCTATATATAGTAGTTGTTTTTTTTTTTGGAAATGAAAAATAAAAAAGATAATCAATCATAGCATAAACCGGATCGATCAAAGGATGGGACTGGGGTTCAATAAATGGGGTGACCATTAGGAAGAGTTATTAGGTGCGGAGTGCGTTCGAAAATCAATAAAAATACGTCATGTCATCTCATTGGTAGGTACTCAGATCGATACCCGTATTTGATATCGCTGGGTATCTAATACTTATGCGAACGATTCTCCTATCCTCACTCTGCATCTTATAATTTCTCGGCCATTAGCCTGTAGTTGGCTATTTGGATTCTTCTATGATGAATGGATGCTACGATATTTGTTGTTTTGTCATGTTGGCTAATTAGCTGTCTTGTTTTAGCAGTTGTGGATTCGCTTTAATGGGAGTGAAAAGTGGAAGCTGGTGATTGGATTTGAGAAGATATTGACACGTGGGAAGAGGGTACAAATAATGGCCTGCAGTCGACAGGCTTTGGGACATTGGATTGATGAGATAGGACTGTGGTGGGGTGTGGTTTTGTCTACTCAACTTGGTACAATCTTTTTGTACGTGCGTGTAGTTGACGTGAAAATCAGCAAAATATTCGATTTTAATTATTTACGATTATAGTATTTTTGTATATTTTTTTATTTAAAAAGTTTTTTTTTTTTTGGGGGAAAAATTTGATGCAAAGGCCGATTTATAAATGATAATGAGTTATAAAATTATGAGAAGAAAATCAACTATAAAAGAAATTACAAGTAAAAATGAAATAAAGGAAACCACAAAGACAAAAACACCTAGACAGAAAGGCAGGTGAATGGGGGCAAAAGAGGACTCAGTGATCGAAACGTCAACAACCAAATCAATCATAGCTTAGAAAAAGTTATTGAGATTAGCTTTTAGAGTGAATCTTTATTAATTTCGAGCTTGGCCTCAAAGTTTGAACGCAAGTCCAGCACAAAAGAGGAGTTTGAGCTTGGCTCGTAAAATGAAAATGAGCTCGTTGAGAGGCTCTATTATGCTTATGTGCCAGCTCGTTCCACGTCCTTGCAAGTCTTTTGTGTTTGGTGTTCATCTCGATTCCACATCCAAGCCCACGTTGTGTCCGAGCCTGCCTTCCGACTTTGGACTATTATCGGACTTCCTCCCGGCTAGCAACTGCCACCAGATTTCTGCCCGACCACTAGCTATTGTCGGGCTACCGAATGACCGCCAATTGACATCAGATTTCCTTCTGACCATCGAACTTCATCGAATTTCCGTTTGATCTTTGTTCTTCATTAGATATCAACTCGACGGTTTACTGTCGTAATATGATCATCCTCAATTTGAAGGATGAACCATCCATTTGTAATATATTCAAACACTAGTGGAATCATTTCAACTAAGCGTGACCACGTAGTTTTTCCCTTGAGGATTTTTCGCGTAAAAAATTCTGGTCTTTCTTTTTTCTCTAATTGTATACTAGATACTCGTGCAATACTAAGACGTGAAGTTTTTTTAGTTTACCGCAACAAATATTCTAGCCCGCAATAATACTAAATATTTTAATATAAATGTATATTGTATTATATTAAAAATTATAAAATATAAAATATTATATTTATAAATATATATCATATTATATTAATATTAAACATTAAAAATACAAAACGGTTTTTCATTTATTTGAATTAAAACTATATCATGTTTTTTTCTTTAATTACATCTCAAATCTGATCCTTCTTAAGTTTGCCCTTTGACATAACAGTTGGATGGTACTGCCATGTTTATTAGTATTCCTATTTCAGTTATGTCTAACAATGAATTAAAGGCTCATGTGGCTAAGTTTGTGAATAACTATGTTCTAGTTCAAACTGATTTGCTGGTTTTGGATGACTCCCTTTCTTCTCCTTCTCGGGGTGAAGGGGAATTTGATGACTTTGAGGATGATATGACTGTTTGTTTTGTTGAACAATGTCGTCCCAATTAATGTCGGTGGTAAAAGGCGTAAAAATAAAGATAAGAAAAAATATGTTTTGGCATTTCTTATTAATGTTACAGCAGTGGTATTTGATGGCTTTATGGACGATGATGAGGAAGCCCCCAGCTTCCTTTTGTTGGCTCGGTTGGTTGACAATTTGGGTGTTTTGGCCTTTTGCTTCGATTTCATGGCTGTGTTGGTTTTGAGTAGCTGTCACCTATGGATAGTCCGTGGCTGGCTGACCACAGGGTTGGTGCAGGGGCTTCCATTCCTGAGTCCGTTTAAGTCTTATTTGGCTATGCTTGTTTTTGTTTCGTATATTGTTGTTTTGTTTTGTTTTTTGCTGTTTTGTTGCATTAGATGTAGGTCGTTTGCTGTTGTAATCATTTTCTTCTATGAATAAAATGGTGTTTTTGTTAATAAAAAAAAATAGTGATAGAACAAGGTGCAATAATGAAGTTCAGGTTGATGAGTCAATTCTACTTTTTCTCCATATTCAATCATGTAACAAGTGCATATGGTGAATATACTACACACTATTTAAATAATTATGAGTTAGTAATAACTACATTATTTATTTTATTAAAGAACATCAAAATTTACTTTAAAATTTTGAAAATAGAAAAAAAAATTAGAGCCACATCAAACCAAGAAATCTAATATGAAACTACGAGAAATTGTACATTTTTTTCTTGCAATCTTCACACCCGTCATACTCTTTCATAGCCTAAAGCATCACACATTGTGAAAAGAAGAAGAAACAAACCCAGCCGTGCTAGATCCGCAACACCTCGGTGTTGGGTTGTCTTTCTCGCGATGGGTCCACAGTGCCACCACATTCGTGTTGGATGAAGTCGGTTTTTGGTGATTTATCAATACTTATTTATGATAACCATAAAAATAATATTGTCTTAACAAAAACTTATCACAATAGTTTATTTTTTAATATAATAATTTCTTATTGATTAAAAAAAATTTGCAGTCACCTCAATGAACCCTAAACCCCCTTTGGAATCTTCTTCTAAATTGTTGAAGAGATGCTTCTGCAGAGCTTTTAACTAATGTGATGAACATAAAAGTTAAAACAAATAAAGTTTGGTGAACAAATGTTTATTAATATATAAATAAAATATTCAAATATGATCTTTAAATGCGACAAATTGTTAGGTGTTAAAATTTATATGTAAATTGAATAAATAATAAAAAATTATTAGACTATACAATGTACAACACAATGCATTTGCAAAATATAAGTAATAAATGAGGAAAATGTTAATTTTATTTATAATTTGGGCAAAAAAGTACAAATTCCTAATAAATTATTATAATAAATAATAAGTATAACAAAAATAAGAAGGCATTTTATATGAACATTTAAAAAATATATTTGAATATTATGATAATAAATTATTATGATCAGTTTATTATTAATTAAATTTACTTTAAAATATATAATATAATTAATCAATTAATGTTTCTGTTATATTAATTTTAAAATAAATTTAATAGATAAAATTTTCAAATTTGAGAGTAAATAGCTTTTTGTTCACATGTTATAGCAATAATCAAAACAATAAGCATAAATTCTAAAAACAAATTTGGATTAACTTGCAATATATATAGTTGTTTCGGGTGACAGTGGTTGGAAGGATCGTAGTCGAATGACGGTGGACGAAAGGATCGTAGTCGAATGACGGTGGTCGGAAGGAGCGTAGTCGACAGGAGATAGAGGTCAGAAAGACTATAGTCGGGTGACGGTGGTAGGAAGGATCATAGTTTACAGATGACAGAAGTTGAAAAGACCATAGTCTGACGACGGTGGTCGGAAGGATTATAGTCGAATGACGATGGTCGGAAGGACTGTAGTCGGGCAATGGTAGTCAAAATGACCATAATTGATGGGTGATAAAGGTTGGAAAGACCATAGTCGAATGACGGTGGTTGGAAGGACTGTATTTGGGAAATAACATAGGTCAAAAAGAACCATAGTCAGGAGACAAAGGCCATAAAGATCATAGTTTGATGACGGTGATCAAAAGGACGGTAGTTGGCGGGCGATGGAGAACAGAAAGATTATAGTCGGATGATAGTGGTCGAAAGGACCGTAGCTGGTGTGCAATTGGTGGGCGTAACCATCGGTGATAGTGGTCAAAAGGACCGTAGCAGGGTACATATGGTTGAAAATATTGTAATTAGTGGGCGACAGAGGTTGGGGCGACCGTAGTCGGATGACAACTGTCGGAAGGAAATATAACTGGGTGAAAGTTCAGTAAAAGTCTTGTGATGGTTGGTGGTAGGGCATAAATCCATCGTCAATTGGTGACCTGGCGAAAGTCCGGCAATACTATGTGTTCGGGCGTAAATCCGGCGTTAGTTGGTGGCTAGGCGAAACTGCGGCGATAATTGGTGGTTGGGAGGAAGTCCAACGATAGTTGGTGAATAGGCCGTGGTTGATGAGGAGCTTGGTGGCAAGCTAGATCTCAAATCTCTCTCTCTCTCTCTCTCTCTCTCTCTCTCTCTCTCTCTCTCTCTCTCTCTCTCTCCCTTAAATTGTGAAGAATAAGAGTTCTATTTATAATTTTTTTGAAGTGGTATGTCCATTAAAAAGAACAAAGATCAAGAGCACGTTGGGAGTGGTTTGAATTGACAATAAATATTGATTCCCTTGATTATAAATAATTGATTGAGCATATGAGTGCTTTAATGATGTCAAAATTCGATGATCTTGGGCTCGTTTGATTCACCCTATCAAGCTGCTTGATTCAATTATATTCATGCAATATTTGGAAATCATTTGATCATTCAATTTATAGTTTGGACCTCTTAAACATGTTTCA